TATTCACATCGACGACTGCTACTGACCATGGATTAGTCCCAACTGCGTAAGTAGTTTGATTAAGAAAATAGTTGCAGGCTATTAAAAACAAAAACTATTTTTAGCATCTTGAATAACGCATCGAAAAAAACTTATAGTTGAAGTGTATAGGATTTATATAACGTTGCCTCGATTAGCACTAAGGCGATGAAAAGAATCCTGCAATCTTTTATTAAACAATTTTTGATACCCTCAAGTCTAGCTGAAATAATATTTTGTTCCATTCTATAGCTCTATGATACAAACTCCTAGTTAATATTAAAAAAATAGAATCAATTAATTGAAAGTCTGTAAGTTTCACTTTCGAATGTGTGCTCAGTCAATGCATTTGTTTCATTCTTCATTATTTGTCTAGTGTGATGACTATAATACTCACACCCACACACCCACTTCATCTCTGTACACAAATACTAGCTTGCCTGTGTAGAAATATTATTTTTTCATTTTGAGAAGTTTTCTGTTCAACCAACTAGGCTTATGTATTGGAATTTGAGATGATTTGGAGCATCAAGCACTAAATTTTTAAATCTCGCGAAACTATTTCTCTTTTCAGCAACTGACGTAAGAACTAGGCACTTAATCCAACACTCACCAACTGTTGTTGATGATGATGATGTTGTTGATGATGATGATGATGTTGTTGAAGTTGATGATGATGATGTTGTTGATGTTGAAGTTGATGATGATGACGTACTCGGTTCTGTTTCGAAAAAATGAGATTAATATTAGACAAGAAAGTTGCATGAGGCTTTGCTAAGAATCTAGTACTTGATTCACTAATCTGGTTCATTCTTTGTGGATGACTCCATTCCGAGAACAGACACTCATAATTAGCGAGCATTACAAATCACAGTCAGAGGAAAAAATCATTGATAAGAGGGGCAAATCTTTTTAGAATTTAACAAGTATAAACATCAAATTCATTCAAATTATTGAAATTTGGATCTATAATTAGCTATGATATTTTTGCAGTATTACGAGATGAAAACTTACGATATTCTAGAATATTTAATATTTTTATTGACGATTGATTAAGAAATGTAATAGTAGAATTTAAATTAAATTCAATATAAATTGTACTAATATTTGAACGATATAATTGACAAGTTTGATTTGTTGAAAAATAATTTAAAGCAGATATTGAATCATTTACTTTTGTCATTTCACATATACACTGATTTTGTGTCACATTGAATAAATTCTTATACATATTACCAACTATCATATAATCCTGTATCTTAGCTATAAGAATAGAATTACAAACAGGAAATAACGATAATATAAATATTAGCCAAAACATGTTGTACTTCTTTGCTTTCTAAAATACTTCATACATGTTTGACTAACTCTTATCACCAGTTTTTGTCGTCTGTTTTCTACAACACACTTTCTCTCTAATTTAATAATTACTCATTCCCCGAAAAAAGCGCCATACATTTTGTAACGAGTTTTTTTCCAACAAAAAGGATACATCCATAACTACATTATGTTATTGTTGTTGCTTTAACTATCAAGAGGATTGAATTCGTTACCATTGAGATATTAACAAAAGAAAAAACTATAAATAATTATATTCTGCTTCAAACTGCTCTGTTTTTAATTAAACTGTCCTTTTAACATATTTATCGAATATCAGAAAAGTGAGAAAAAAAAGTCATGATATCAACAAATGATGTCTTCTATACGCTCAATAAACACATTTGTCCGATGAGAAAAAATTGCTTCTACTCATTTTACATAGATTGAACGTAGGTGTTAACAACAACAGAGATAAACACATAAATTCTATTATCTTTCATTCATTTTGTCGATCTCATCCAATATAATCTTATTTATGATATTTTCCAAATAAAAACCACTGTAATTAAATACTTTTCTCTTGTATATTAATGTAACCCCATTATCTTCTTTAATGAAATATATTGAAATAGAATAACAAGACTAGTTTTTTATTGAGAGCATATAACATTGTTTTCTATAAGAAAATACAATCTTTCGATCATTAATATGTTTTCTTGAGTTATAATTCATGAATTTACTCGAAAAACTATGTACAGTAATACGTATTCTAACTATTGAAATTTCAGCTAAAAAAATATTGATATCCTATAATAATTGTTTTTCTAAAAGAAGTTGTTATTTGTCATGAACATCATTCATCACATATACACTTAACTACATTGTTTTAATCATCCTTCCTTCTATGAACATGGTATTCGCTTCGTTTGGCTTCAAACAAATTCTATTTCTTTCTTTTTTTTCGCCTCCGTATTTTTTCTCTTCATTTTCATCGTCGATGTCTTAGTATAGAACAGAATCGATAGAATGCGATAAAAATGAAAGAAAGACCGTCAATTGTTAATGTTTAGGATTGCTTTTTTTGCTGTTTCTTCATATTCTTTACAATATCATTATTCAAAAACTGTTTCATTGACAACCATCTTTTTATTTTTTTTTGTTACTCTTTCAGATTACAAATGAAAAAAACTACTAGTTACTCATTCAATATGAGTCATCGTTTTCTCTATATTATCATGGAACCTACTTGTACATGTTTTCCGATAATAGACTCTCTGAGGGTGGGCGTAATTGTATCTTATTTCTCTCACTCACACCCACACCCTATTTGATCATTAAATGGGAAATATAAAAAGTGTGAGACATATCTAAAGAGTTCAAATAATATGAATGTCGTGTTCATAGGATTGGATATTTAACTAGTTGAAACTAGATAAACACACGATTCTTTCAATAAAGAATATTTACTTTTTTTGAGAAGAAAAATATTTGACACTGAGATTATATAATAAATAAGGAAAAAATTGTAATTATATTAATATTATTGTTCTTGATAAAATATACATGGAGATAAGCATGTTCAAATAAAGATTTAAGATTCAGTCGACGCATTAGTTGCTGGTATGCTAATCAATAGTGTGAGGAAGCTCTCTTTATGAAAGATCTTCATGTAATTTACAGGTTGGGCAGTAATACTCATGTCTTGAAGCTTCATTTACGAAACCTATACCATCAACGTATTTCTCGTATAAGCCAATAACTTTATGCGCTCGCTTATCTAAAGA